AAACTTTCTGGAAGAAAACAAGCAAAACATTCCCTGACATAAATCTTAGCAATGTTCTCGTAGAGCAGTCTATCCAGGCAATAGAGATAAAAGCAAAAATAAATAAATGGGACCTAATTAAACGTACAAGCTTTTGCAAAGGAAACTACAAACAAAACAAAAGACAACCTACAGAATGGGAAAAGATACTTCAGAAAGATGTGACTGACAAGGGCTTAATCTCCAGCATATACAAACAGCTCATATAGCTTAATAACAACAACAACAAAAACCAAACCACCCGAACCAAAAATGGGCAGAAGACCTAAACAAGCAATTCTCCAAGGAAGACTTACAAGTGGCCAATAGGCACATGAAAAAATGCTCAATACCACTAATTATCAGAGAAATGCAAATCAAAACAATGAGGTATCACCTCACACCGGTCAGAATGGCCATCATTTAAAAGTCCACAAATGATAAATGCTGGAGAGGCTGTGGAGAAAAGGGAGCCCTCCTACACTGTTGATAGGAATGTAGTTTGGTGCAGCCACTATGGAAAATAGGATAAAGATTCCTTTAAAAAGTAAAAACAGAGTTACCATATGATCCAGCAATCCCACTCCTGGGCATACACCTGGAGGGAACTCTAGTTCAAAGAGATACCTGAACCCCCAATGTTCACAGCAGCACTGTTTACAATATCCAAGACATGGAAACAACCTAAATGTCCAACGATAGATGACTAGATAAAGTTGTGGTATATTTATACAGTGGAATACTACTCAGCCATAAAAAAAGAATAAAATAATGTCATTTGCAGCAACATGGATGGATCAGGAGATCATTATTCTAAGTGAAGTGAGCCAGAAAGAGATAGAAAAATACCATATGATATCACTTACATGTGGAATACTAAAAAAAAAAAAAAAAGGACATGAACTTATTTACAAAACAGAAACAGACTCACAGACATAGAAAACAAACTTATGGTTACAGGGGGAGGGTGGATAAATTGAGGGATCAAGATTTGCAGATACTAACTATTGTATATAAAATAGATGAATTAAAAGTTTTTGCTGTACAGCACAGGGAACTATAGTCAGTATCTTATGGTAATTTATAATGAAAAAGAATATGAAAGCAAATCTATGTATGCAAATGTATGACTGGAACTTTACGCTGTACACTAGAAACTGACACATTGTAAACTAACTATAGTTCAATAAGAAAAAAGAGAACAAGCAAAAAAAACCTAAAGTAAAGAAAGGAAAAACCTTTTTACAGGTTCCCAACAGAAACTCTTTTATTTCTTTGTTTAAAAAAAAAGCACAGACTGGGTCTTTCTAAAGTATTAAGAGATTTTTAAAAAGCATATAACACAAGAAAAAGAGCAATTTATTTTAACAAGAGAACTGCAAATAAGTAATTTACCAAGGTAGATTCCTTCTTTCACATCCAAGAATAGAAAATATATTTCACTGAGAATGTGCGAAGAAAACTACTCCTCAGGCATCATTTTTGCCCACTATTTCTAATTCTCCATGAGTTGGGCACAGTGTTTTAAGAGAACAGAATTGTGGCTTTCTCACCACAAGGCCTCAATGTTTGTATCACTGGAAGCAGGGAGGTTCCTCATCACTCCCATCAAACCAAATTCACCCACTTGCACAGTGTTAAATAAACCCTAACAAAGCTGTAAGACCTGTGTACTATCAGCAGGGACTTCAAAAGAAAGAGTATGAGGAAGATACCACTATATGTGTGTGACTATTTTTTTTCATATATTTCTATTGGTATAAATATTCTCAGCAATGAAGGCCTTATCTCTGAATTCCAACTGAATAGCAGTTTTAATTTATCCTTTAATTATGACTCATGGGAACAAAACCCTGACTGCAGTAGGCCTCCTAACAGGCCCCAGCCTGTCCCCGTCCTGTCAGTCATCAGCACAGCCAACAACTGTTCGTAAAGACAGACCTGCCCCCACCACCCTTCTGATTAAGAGCTTTCTAAAACGCCCTTCACTCCTTGGCCCGGCCGGCTCTTAGTCTTCATGGGATAATTACCTACGACCAACTCTAGGTCCGTTTCCCCAGGACTGCCTGCTAATCCTTTTTTTTTTTTTCTTTTAACAGCCACTAGGTGTTCCTCACTTTCCAAGGTAGCGCCCTGGATGCCTTGTCTCATTCCATACTTGACGATTTCTGTGTGAAGCAGGGACAATAATTGTCCCATCTTGCAGATGAGGCTACACAGCTGTTCATGGTCACAAAGCTCACAATGTAGAGTCACAGTCTGGTTTCAGAATCTGTATTTTTAAACACCGCATCAGATACCCTCTGTGGTAGACCCATACTGCAGGTATGCCCAAGAGCTGTCAACCGATTTTTTGGCTCACCAAGTCCAACCAACTCAAATAGCCACACCAGCCTTCTATCAGTATGCTTCCCTAAACACTACAGTTACCTACTTTCAAATAGCATGTAAATAAATATAAAAATGTTGTCTTATGCTGTACACCAGAAACTGACACCACATTGTAAAGTGACGACACTGCAATAAAAAAAATGTTAATAATGTTAAAGACATCTGTGTGATGCTCAAGTGCCCTCCCAGTTCAGAGCTAAAGCATCCAGGAATGCTGCTCACTGGACAGTCTCTGGTTAGCTCCTCACCATTATATCCAGTCATCTGCTTAGCCCTCAGCCCAGTTAACCGCACACCAGCATCTGAGAGAATCCACCCGTTCTCAAGCTGTTAATAGTCATGCCTCCCCTGAGTGCTGAGATGACACAGTGTCCCCACGGTCCAGTCATCTCTCTGACCACTGCTTCCCTGGAAACAGGAATGACAGTGTCCTGGCCACCTTCTTGACCTCAAAATGCCTTAGACACAGCAGGCATTCACTTACTGAGAGAATACATGACCTCACCGTAGCCACTTACTAGGTGGGTTAAAAACAAGGATGTCATCCAAGAGCTTAGACATTTCCTGTTCCAGGGCCGCTAAGGAGATTTTCCCATTCTGCTCCAGGGAGCTGAGGAACTGAACCATCTGGTGGGTGAAGGCTCGGCACTTTGGAACTGCATCCTGACAACAACAACAACAACAAGAAGGATCATTCAAACGGCCTCGCGCAAGCAGTGTGAACGGAACGCTCCCTGGGAGCACAGCACACACTGACTGCTGCAGCAGGGGCTGGAGGGGCAGAGCAGGGAGCCGCCTGAGGACAGGTGTGCCCAAGGGCCCCGCGTTAGGGGAATTAAGTCTGCGGTGCCACTTAGACCAGAACCCGTGTTCTCCCAATTGCACTGGAATATTCTTCTTTTTCACTACATTAATAACAACTTTAACCACACCGCGTATTTACCAGGAGCTTTTCCCAAAACCTTTATGTCCATTTATCTAATCTAACAACACTTTGAGGCAAAGTGTTATTATTTACAATTCAAGAGAGAAAACCAAGGTCAGAAAGGCAGTGAGCTGGAGACCTGAGTTTGTGAGACCACAAACTCATACTCATAACTTGCCTGCCATTCTGCTGCCAGTGAGACTCAGATCAGCAAACCAACAGCCCACCGCTGGCCCTCAATCCTTTTACCCTCATATTAGCGTGTGACACTACCAGCAGGTAAAGGCTTACCAGAAGAGACAAATAAAACTGGAAGATACAAGAGGCCACAATGTGGGTACACAATGATACACATCCTCCAACTTTATCTCCTGAGCCGTCCAAGGGTTCAAGACGGTCCTCTGCTACCACCAGCCCTGCACAACACTCTGCCTTCTGAAGCACCTACTGAGCTTACGTGATGTTTCTGGCTGTCAGTAGGGACGGAAAGGCCTGCGGACACTTTAAGGAGCTTCACGATTAATTCAGCAGAAGGTTCCTTTGCCAGGATGATGGACGGCTGGTAATGGCTGCTGAAATAAGCCAGCACACTCTGATACGACACAGTATCCACCAGATGCCATGAAAGCGAGCTTGTCTGTCCAAGGAGAGTAAGTAGAGGCGAATCCTAAAAATGAAACACATATTCCTTTAGCTCCAGAACTCCCGTGTTCCCAGAAATGTGTCTCTCCACAGTCTATGGAGTGGCCACTAACATGGCTCATGATAAGCATCGAACAGCTAAGATGCCCAATGAGCATCTGCTCAAGTTCGAAGTACTTGTGAAAGTCATAACCAAAGTCTTGGCAGACACATTAACGTTAAGATTTGTAAGTTTTCAGAGCCCAGTTTTCAAAGGAACTCTGTGATCTGGTGATAGAACAAGCAATTAATGAGATACAAAATAAAACTGATTTTTTATTCTAACTTGGTGTGATTCCCTTAGACTGTGAACTAAGAAAAATCAGGCACCTAGTTAAACGCACATCCCATATGCCAAGCGTATATTCACAACTCAAAGAGGCATTAGGGAAACAAATGAAAAACGATGACTCCATACAGAGCGAGGATCGAGGGAGCCTTGCCAAATCCTTATCCCAGGCTCTCCAAACTTACAGTCTGGTCTACCAGTTGATCTTCCTTTGCCAATAAAATCATCATGAAAAGGAGACAGACAACCATGCTCCGGGTCTCTGGGAGGGGGCTGGGGTTCCAGGCGTCAGAGAGCACACTGACCCAGTTGACTTCGCAGAGGACAGAGCCCAAAAATAAGAAGCAGCTCTTGGGACTTCCTCGTTCCACCTGAAAGGACATGATGCTTGTAGCTGTCTGTGTGTTTTGAAAATGTATATGTATCAATGTTTACTAAATTATATATTTTTTAAATTATCA